TGGCAGCCACTGTTTCTATGAGATCAACTTTTAAATTTGTTTTTAAGTTTCTGCACGTAAGTGATACTATGGATTATTCCATTGTTTCACTTCACATAATGCCCTCCACGTTCACCCATGTTGTCTCAAACACTAGCATTTCCTTCTTTTTCTGTCTGTATATGTATAGCACCCCCCCCCACACACACACACATTCTCCCTCTCCACTGTCTGTAAATGGGCACCTAGGTTGTGAGCAGTGCTGCAGTGAGTGTGGGGGTGCAGGGTTTTTTTGATATATTGATTTCATTTACTTTAGATATAGACTGAGATGTGGGGTAGCTGGACCAAATAAAAATAGTTCTATTTTTAATTGTGTAAGGAATCTCCATCCTGTTTTCCTAGAGGCTGTACAAATTTACATTCCCAACAGTACGCCTGGATTCCCTTTTCTCCACATCCTAGCCAACCACCATTCTGACACCAGAATATCACTTCCACACATCGTGTTGGTTAAAGTAAGTTGCAGGGCCAGCCCAGAGTTAGGGGGAAGGGAGACAGACTTGACTTCTTGGTGGAAGGAGTAGTAAAGTCACATTGCAAAAGGACATGTGGGACGGGAGGGACGGTTGTGGCTGTCTCTGGAAACAATCCACCAATTTGTCCTTGGGGAAGTTACTTAAACACATGATTTCACTTTCTTCTCCTGTAAAATAGAAAAGAATGACATTGACCACTCAGGGAAGTTGTGTTTAGCACCTAGCACACTGTAGTAGACACACAACAGCAACAACAAAAAATATATTGATTGAGCCCATGCTGTGTGGCAGCCCTGTGCTAGATCCTTTATGTAATCTTATAACAACCCAGTGACGCACATATTAGTATGATCTAATGAAAACCTTAGGCACAAAAATGTTAAGTAACTTCCACAGAGTATGTTGCACAGTAACTATTCTCTGTAAATCTTGTGTGTCTTATTGTCTGCTACATCCAAAGGACAGTTTTGGGTTTATTTTAAAGATTTTATTTATTTATTTTTAAACAGAGAAGGGAGGGAGAAAGAGGAGAGAAACATTGGTACAAGAGAGAAACATCGATCAGTTGCCTCTCCTAAGCACCCCACACACACCCCAACCAGGAACCAAACCTGCAACCCAGGCATGTGCCCTGACTGGGAATCGAGGTGGTGACCTCTTGCTTTGTAGGCTGTTGCCCAACTAACTGAGTCACATCAGTTAGCGAAAAGGACAGCTTTTTTCTCTTTTAAATTCCAGTGACAGCTGATGTTGTTGATCACTCCTCTATCCACTCTGCTCCTCCTCCTTTGGCCCCCATGACTCCCCTCTGAGTTCTCCTTCTTTGATTGCTTCTTATCATTCTTGTCCTTGTTAAGCCATGTTTTACATGACAAAGTTATCTCCCATTTTTCCAGCCCTTCTTTCCTGGAGGAACTTACACAATGTGGTAACTCAATCTCTACCTTTCTATAGATGATTGCCAATCTCCCTCATGAACCCTGAGAAGGAATGTATCTGCCATAAAGAACTCTTGGTGGTTAATTGGGCCCCCAACTCATAGCCAGAGTCTAGCAGCCATTGCTGACCAAGTCCTGTCACACACACTAAATTTCAGGGGAAAGCCACAAACTTAGCTTCTAAGCCCCCTGCATTGTGTTCCTGCCATCTGAACCTTATAAAGGAGTTCCTAGAGCCGGCTGGTTTCCGTCAGTGGATTGAGTACTGGCCTGCAAACTAAAGTGTCCCTGGTTTGACTCCCGGATCAGGGCACATGCCTGGGTTGCAGGCCAGGTCCCTAGTAGGGGGTAGGTGAGAGGCAACCACACACTGATGTTTCTCTCCTTCTCTTTATCCCTCCCTTCCTCTCAGTCTTAAAAATAAATAAATCTAAATCTGGAATCATCTTTCAACCAGTGGGCTCAGACCTCCCCCAACCAATTGGAAATAAGCAGCTATATCCTCATTTGCATCTATATTGACCAATCAGAGAGGCTCCATAACAACCAATCAAAACACTCAAAGCTGACCAGTCAGGAGAACTGCTATTCCAGCCAATCAAACTATGCAAATTTGGATTTCTCATTTGCATAAAAATGGACCAATCAGAGGCCCCCAAGTTGCAACTTTCTCTATAAAAGCAGCCTCCCCTTCCTCTTTATGGAGTGCACATTTTCTCTCTTCTAGGCTGTGATTTCTTGTTTTGCAAACTGTTCATTTGACTAAACTTTCTCCCTTTACCACACCCAGGGTGGGGACTCTTGTGGGCATTAGATTGGTAGCAGTGACCTTTTGTTGACACCCATCTCTCCTAAATCCTAGGCATGCAATTCAGGGTATCATCTGGGACCAACCACATATGACCCCAGTTTCTGAAACTTTGTCTTTTCTTTCTCATTCCATTGGTCACAATTTTGTCAAATAATATTTGAAATGTTTTTCAAATGCAGATGTTTCTGGAAATCAGCCAATGCCTTTAGCCCAATCTAGGCCCTCATTCATATCTTGCCTGAATTAGCAAAGTAATTTCTTAATTTTTAAAATTAAAGTGACAGTTGACATAAAATATTGCATTTGTTTCAGGTATACCATATAGTGATTACAGATTTATATGCCTTATAATGTGATCACTATGATAAGTCTAGTTATCACCTGTCATTGTACAATTATTGATATTATAGACTATATTCCGTATACTGTACATGATAGTCTCATGACTTATTTATTGATTTGAGACAGAGGGAGAAAGAGAAAGAGGAAGAGACAGAAACATTGATTTGTTGTTCCACTTATTTATGCATTCATTGGTTGCTTCTTGTATGTGCCCTGACCAGGGATGGAACACACAACCTTGGAATATCAAGACGACACTCTAACCAACTGAGTATCCTGCCAGGGCTTATTTATTTTATAATTGGAAGTTTATACCTGTTATTCTCCTTCACCTTTTTCACCCATCCTCTCATACCCCACCCCTTTGGCAACCATCAGTTCTTTATATCTATGGGTTTCTTTGTTTTGTTTTGTTTGTTCATTTGTTTTTTCAGCTTCCACATACATATAAGTGAAATCATATGGTACTTGTCTTTTTCTGTCTGGCTTACTTCACTTAACATAATGGCCTCTAGGTCCATCCCTGTTGTCACTCAAACCAATTTCTTATTGTCTTCAGTTTCTCTCTGACAAAATCACATCAGTATTGGACTTCTACATGCTTTAACACAGCTCCTTCCCACCATTACTACACCAGCCCTAGCACCACCCTCTCTGATTCGCCTTCCACCTTTTGTGTCTTTCCCTCCTTTCAAGGGCCTGCTTCTGTTCTACCTCCTCCACAAGCTCCCTCTCAGCACTTTCTTCCCCCGCCCCCCCATAATTTCTTAGGGCAGAGAGTCTACTTGCCTTTTCACAACTCTCTGGAGTTATCTTTACCTTTACAATTCCTCATTTTCTCTGCTATTCCAATGGAACAGTGATTTTCATCTGGTGTGCTGCAAGAATTTTTAAAACATGCAATCCTGACTATTTAGTCAGGGGTACTGACCTCTTTTCTTTTCTCTTAGACTGTCAAGTAAAAAAATGACAACAGCCAACACAACAATAGGCAATGGTGTGAATAAATGAAAATTATACCTGTTTTTGTCAGATGGGCAAACAATGTATTTTTGGTGTGCTGCAAAATTTTAGTAACAAGTTTATGTGTGCCACAAGATGAAAAGGTTGAAAATCACTGCAACAGGAGGTCTTTCAGGCCCTAGCAGAATTCACAGCAGAATTTCAAAACTTGTCCTGAAGTACTTTTTTGCGCAGCACGGTTTTTTATGAGATGTCCCTATCAACAATACACCTTATGGCTAAGATGCCGGTTGCAGAGCGTCTACTCTAATTGTTGTAGAGTGGGGGTGGGGCCCAGATACTAGTATGTAAAAGCAAAAAAAGCCAGGGTTACCTTGCCTCCCCACATATGAACTTGGGCAGGTGACATTTTTCTGAGTCTCAGATATTTCATTGGTAAAACAGGGATAACAGTTATACAGACCTTGCTGGGCTATCCAGGGAATTAAATGAGATTATGTATCTAAAAGGCTTGTGTGTGGCACAGTGCCCACACATATAAACAAAAGAGCTCAGTACTCCGTAGTTGTTTCTGGGCTTATTGCCTGAAAGGCTGAAGAGGTGGGTGTATGAGAGGTGCCCTGTGCTCCCTTCCAGAAATTTAGAATTTAGTGATACTCTTCTTTCGTGGGTGCTGGAAACACGTTGGCAATCCTCGGGTTTCCAATCAGTTGCTTAGAAAACGAGCTAGGACCTACGAAGTTCCAGGTGCGTTCCATTGTCTTTCTCAGGTGCCAGTTATTTGACCTTAGTTCTGATAGGAAAGCCTCGACCTTTTCCCAATCACCAGGGTGGTGGAAAAGGCCCTGCGCTTGGGAAATCTTTCCTTTGATGGCGAATCTTGACCTCAAATCCCACATTTGGGCATCTAGCACTCGTAGGCCCGTGGTTTAGGGACAGACGGTGCTTTTCAAGTTTGAAGCCGGCGCTCTGTTCTCCAGTTCCGGCGGGTGTGGTCCAGATTGCACCTTTTCCGCAACGCACCCCGAAATGTGCTTTGGACGTACGAGGCTGAGGTTGATTTTCCTCAGGTCAGAGGGGAGCGGTGGTGAGAGCGCTCGGAGCGCGCACCCGCTCACACTCTCCAAGCCTGGGCACGACCGCTCCGAGCGCGAGGTCCGGAGCCGAGTTCTGCGCTCCTCTAGGAGCCCGCAAGCGCCCCGTTCCCCACTGGCGCCCAAGTAGCGACCACTGAGATCCCACTCAACCGCGCGCACCCCTGGCCCGGCCCCACCCCGGGCGGCCGCCAGTGGCGGGCGGAGCGCTAGGAGCGAGGCGCGCGGGGCTTTGCGGCACCGCCTCTCCTGGTGCCGGGGGAGGGACGGAAGGGCCGGAAGGGAGAGAGAGAGAAAGCGCGAACGACCCACGACCGGCTGGCAAAGAGCTGCATGCAACCGGTGGGAGGCCGGGCCGGCTGGGGCTGGGGCTCGGGCCGCTTCTCGGCTTGTCCCTGGCGGCGAGCGCAGACGGCCCGGAGGCGGCGGCTCTGAGCTGGCAGGCGGAGGGTTGTCTCCCGCGCCCGCCTGCCCGGCGCGGTCCGAGGATGCGGGGGGGCGATGCCCGGGGCCAGGGACGCGCTCTGTCACCAGGCGCTGCAGCTGCTGGCCGAGCTCTGTGCCCGTGGGGCCCTGGAGCACGACAGCTGCCAGGATTTTATCTACCACCTGCGGGACCGCGCCAGACCTCGTCTCCGCGACCCAGGTGAGTGCCACTGCCACTGCCCAGCCCGACCGGTGGGCCCTGGGCTGGCAGTTGGGGCCGCACGGGGGCCTGAAGCAGAACAGCAACGTGGACTGGAGGGAAGAGGTGCGGGGTGGGGGTGGGGGCTTGCCACCGAGCTAGGGGAGGGGATAGGAAACCAGCGCACCGGGGCCTGATGCTGGAACCGGGCGAGGAGCCCGGTGGAGGATGCTGCCCGGAGGCCGATTCCGGGTGGGCTAGGTTAAGGTTGGAGGGACCACGCCCGCCACCTGCGCTACCTACGCTTGGGCTCCTGGGGGAGGCTCCGGAGCTCAGAGCTCCGCGCTCCACTTCCCAGGTTCTGCGCTCCGGGCGAGGGGAGGCCTCGGCGGTCAAAGGAGCGGTGGGAAAGGGGAGGAGGCCGGAGGAAAACTCCGGGAAGTTGGGAGTTGGGGACGGCCCCGGGCTGCAACTGAATCCCAATGGGCACGCCTCATCGTCGCGCCGGAGCGCCTATTTCCCTTCCTAGGTCTGGGGTGGGAAGGGCGGGACGGGATGTGGCGTTGGGCCGGGGGAGGGAGCCCCGGGCCCTGGGCAGCCGGGCCTGAACCTGTTCCCTGCGGGTCCTTTGGCGTGGAGGCGGCCTGGGCCTGGCACGACCAGCTGCCACCCCTGGGCACACCTTTGTCGGTGGTCTCACCGGTCATGGCTTGTGCACCTGCAGTTATCCCTAGTGAAAGTTGCGAAGCTCCTAACTTTGGAAAGTTCATTTATTTTGGCATTTGTCCAACTAAGGTTGGTGGAAGCAGTTTTGGTGGAGTCATTTGCTTTCTTAAAGGGCCCTGGGTCTCCCACTTCCGTCTTCTCATCCACTACTGCTTGCTAGAAGACAAATTCCTTTTAAATATTTACTTGGGAGTCTACTCACCTGGAGAAATTATTTTTTTTCGAATATTCTCTTAGCCTTAGTACTAAAAAAAAAGTGTATTGTGGTTGGATTGTTAAAGATGGGGTGAAAAAATGGCCTTCCCCTGGCATTCCTGTGTGTAAATACTGGAAATGAGCCACTGCTGTGCAAATTATCCAGCACGAATCTACCTCATTTTAAAGCAATCTATTATGTAAAAATCTATTTACCCAGAGGATAAATTAGAGAATTATTTGGTTCATAAAGCGGTACACACTAAGCCTGACTAAAACAGCATTTCCTTGATAGTATGTCCACAATGGGTCTGTAGGGTGAAGAGAATTCATCTGTTAAAAGTTTATAGCAGATTTTCTCTACTCAAAGGTTTTTTTTTCTATTGAAGAAGGAAGATGATTGTTCCCCATTGCCTGTGGTTATGTTAATTAAGTTTATCAGATGATCAGTAATGTGTTACTCATAGTGGAGAATTAAGCCGAGAAATACTGTTGGTCCCAAATGATTTCCCCAGAGTTTTAATGTCCAGCCTTCGTGAGTCTTGTTGCTGAATGTGACGGCTGCACAGACTGCAGACTCAAGTGAGCGTGCTTCATTTCATGAATTAATTGGGGGCCCAGGATGATGTCCCAAGTGCAGAGAGTTCTGTCTTTTAGCAGCGGGAACAAAATTATTAAAATGCTTCCTCCAAAGCAAGCGTTAGTGTTGTTGTGTCCCACTTCCTTCATGTGACTGTGCCACAGTTCCCATTGTTGTCCTCAATAAGCAGTCGCCTTTGACTTTTGTACAAGAGAAGATGGATGAGGTCTCTTGCTGAGTTGCATGTTTAACATCTTTTTGGCTAATTTTATGTCTCTGTTCTTTGTAAGCCACGAGCTGGCTCCCATGTTCTTAGGTCTTGGTCAGCCCCTGTACTGGGCAGACTTTGAGAAAGAATCACAGAGGAGGCTCCTTACAAAAGACAAATCTGATTCCTTGGCTAAGAAAGTCATAGATAAGAATGTGCCTTGATACTCTGAGTTCCTGAAAGCACTGCTCTGCTTTCTTAAACTAGGGCATAGGGGTTTTGAGGCAGCCCCCTACAATTGTAGGTTTGCATCCAGAAGTATCCTGCTTTTGAAGAAGGAGTTGTGGGGAGGCTGTGAATGCAAGATGAGAGGAACTGAGGCTGAAGCTGACATCCAGCGTGTACCCTCTCTTCCAGGACACTTCAGCTCAGGCCAGAATTCATCTTCACTTCCCTCTTTCACCTCCTTGCCCATATTAATTCTTATATCAGATGCATTTATCTCCATCCCTCTGAAGCTGTTTGTGCAAGCCAAGAGTGGCTTTAATTTCTGAGCCCTAAAAGCTGAGGGGCTGGAGGAGCTGTAGAGCAAAACTGTGAAGGGTTCCTGTGCTGTTATGTAGTGTGAACCAGAACCACCATGCACAGCAGCCCTGGACATGAGTCCCTAGAGAGAGTTGGCTCTCTAAAAGTGTGACTTCCTTTTCTTAAAAAAACAAGAACAAAAACCACCTGGATGGCATGCTCCAATTTTCTCTATCCATTGTCCATCCATGGCTACCTAGGGGTGGCTAGGTTTTCTCAAGCTCAGTTGAGGAACTTTGGTTTTAAAAGGGGAAAACATATGTAATTCCCTGTGGACAGCAGGATGACATTGAATCTAGGATATGTGTCCATTTTGTTAGTGGTGGGATAAGCCTGGCTTACAGACCAGAGGGCCTCAGAAGGGTGATTCTTTGCCCAGGTAGTTGGCAGTACTCTGATGTAGGAACATAGCACCTCATCTTCCTTAACTTGGTGTTAAGACAGGATTTTCTAAAGCGTGATTTGCCTCACTTAGTCCTTTATTTGTACCAACTATGGAAGGTAAAATGCTGACCTTTAAGCTAAGTGCGAGCATTTTTTCCCCCATGGAAAGCAATTAAAATATTGCTGCTAAATGTTTTTAGGTTGTTTCACATACAGAGTGGGGTAAAAGTAGGTTTACAGTTGTGAGTACATGAAACACAGAGTCTATTCTTGTATTCATTAATTGTATTATTATTTATTAATTGTATTATTTTCCATGAACACAACTGTAAACCCACTTTTGCTCCACACTGTATTGGCAATGTGGGGCATAAACTTGCAAATCTCAGAGAATAACCTTCATGGCCAAGGGAAGAGCAAGTGCAAAGATCCTGAGGTAGAAGCATCCTTAATGTGATTCAAGGAACTGTGAGTTCAAGGGCATCTGAAGCAGAGTGAAAAAGACAGAGAATAACAAGAAATCTGATCAAGGATTTGAGGAAGAAGATCATGTTGGGCTTGTAAACTATTATATGGTCTTTGATTTTTACTCTGAATGAGATATGAAACCATCAGAATGAGTTGAACAGAGAAGTGGCCATACACTGGCTGCTGTGTTGAGAAAAGATCATAGCTGAAGGCAGAGAGACTTGTAGGAGGCTATTGTAACTCAAACAGAGATCATGGCTTGGACCAGGTTGGTTTTAGTGCAGGTGATGAGAAGCAATTGGACTACAGACAGTTTGAAGGTACAGCATTAGGATTTGTTGATGGAATGGATGTGAGGCGTGAGAGAACAGAAGTTAAGGTTGACTCCAAAGCTTTTTGACTTAAGCATCTCAATTCACTACAAAGGAGAAGACTTCAGGGGGAGTTGAGCTGGGGTGAGGAGAGGAATAAGGAAGTTTCTGTTTTATTTTTTTTTAACTGTACTAATTGTGTGGTGTCCCTTAGATATTCACAGTGACCCAAATCATATCTTTAATGTCATCAGATGGTCTGTGCTCATTCTGGGGCTTCCTTCTTACTCCTAACGAGGGCCCGTTGATTATAGGACAGCACTTACTGTTAAAACGTGTTTCCTTGTATGGCATGAAAACCTCTTTAACTTCTACTCGTTGATCTTGATTGTACTTTCTGCTATCAAAGAGAATGTCTCTTCTCATTACACACCTTTGGCTATTAGGAACTGGAGATTTTAACTTTTCTCAACCTGTTGTTTCCCCATCTGGAAAAGAAAAGAGGATTAGATCATGGGACTTCTAGGTTTTCACCATGTTTTATTATTTCCCTTACAAGTCTTTTCTTCTGTAGGGTGCCAGCCGTGTCTGTGCCAAGGGTTTTATGTAGGTCATTTAATTTAATCATCATAATGTTTTCTAAGACCTTGCTGCTCAAAATGCTTGTCTGTGGACAAGCACTGTGAGCATCATCTGGGAGATTTTTGGAAATGCAGACTCTCAGGCCCCACCCTGGATCTACTGCATATGATTCTGTGTGTTAATAGGAGCCTCAGGTGATTCATAGGGACATTAAGGCTTGAGGAGCATTGCTAGAAAATTGGTGAACAAAAGCTCGGAAAGCTAAACTAGCCCAAGGCCATGGGTTCCATTTAAGAAAAGAGTCGAATCTAAATTAAAGTAAATCTGAGGCAAACACATCACGTGTACTAAGACTATAGATGTTGTGAGTGAAAACTTCCTAGGTACTTTCCATCAGAGCCATCTTCAGACCTACTTTCTCCATTCGGTACTTCTATATTGGATTTCATCTCTAAGCGTAGGTTAAATTCTATGCAGTTTTAAGGATTCAGCTCAGTTTCTCGGTATGAATTTTTGAATTACATGAATTTGAATGATATGAAATCGTTGAGTTTTATGAATTATTCAGGATACTGGTTTTCCATTGACATTCTAGCTTTGTATTTCTAGAGACTTTTCCTCATTTTTCTGCTTTACCTGGTCAGCCAGTGAAGCAGGGCCTCACGACATGTCACTGATGACTCCTCTTTCTAGGTGGACATCAACCCTACTCAGGAAAAGCTTTCTCTAGACCAGTGGCTTTCACCATTAGAAACAATTTAGGGAGCTTGAACAAACAAACAAAATTAAAACATTAAATTGGAACCTCTGGGGCCAGGGCCTAGTTTCAGTATTGTTTGAGTTCCTCAGCTGACGGCAGTGTGCAGCCATGTGGAGGACAACCGTTACGGCCCTCCGTGAAGAATGAATCCACAGGACTCTGCTAGGCTCCCATGTCTTTCTTGCAAAATTAGGAGAGTTGGTATCAAACGTCTGGGGTTTT